AACAAATTTTTCATATTCAGATCACGCAAAATTCCTTGGGGATCTTATTATTTCTTTACTTATCAAGTGACAATAATATTCACTAATTGTTAAATTCAAGCCTATCACGTTTATTTTTAAATTGATTTTCCCAAATTTCCTGTTAAAAAATTTTTGATACAAAATTTCTTTCTCATAATACTAACACTTTTACCATATTTTTATGACTAATATGAATTATGACAAAAAAGTAGCTTTGCTAAAATAAGTATGTATGTATATAGCACACTGAGAAAAGAGAATTAGAAATCATGAATGAAAAGTCACTTATTAAATAATATACGGTATGTTTGTGTTTCATTTATTTCGAGTTTTTTTTTAAACCGTTGCGTACATGTAATATGCCATACTATGGCATATGATTTAATTTTAACTCTTGTATAGTAAATTGTTTAATAAATTTATTGAAATAAATTTTTAAAATTATAATGGAATGTACATACTGTAGATAATTGGTACGACATAATAGTAATTTGGTGCGGTCTAAAGTTTAAATTAAAAACAAAAATTGTCTTTAAACGTATATTAATAATTTGACAAAAGGCTAACACAATATAACAGAATATAAATAGTATTATAAGTTTAATATGAGATTTTATAATAGTTTTATTACTGTAATTTCACAATAGGAAGTTGTATTGAAATTATAAATATGTCCAATCTTATAATTTGTACAAAAAAAAAAATAATGTTGAGAAAATTGCAAACAGATTTTTAAAATATATTTACATGTATTTATATATGAGTATATGTGGCATATATGTACTATGTTTGTATATTTAAATTTTCATTTTCTACTCGCTTACTTATTATAAAATCATATTTATATTTGAAAATTTTTGAAAAAATTTTTGAAAAACTACACACCTTTTTATGTAACATTTTAAATTGGGAAAATAATAAAATGATTTCTAAATTTTAAGATTCTGTAAAACATAATGGAAAAAATTATATTTTTTCCCTTTCATTTTGTTTTTTTTTTTTTTTTATTATTTTGTAGATCACGTTAATTTTCACAATTGTCACTTTTTATAGAAAACAAAGTACATAATACATAATAAATGTTACCTAAATTAATAAAATTAAATATAGTTACTTAAGATTTTAAAATAAAGAAAGTTGGATAAATACTGAAACAGAAATATCAAATTTATAAATTGTTTAAAAAATTAAAGTAACAAATCAAACATGTATTAAAAAATCTTAGATTCAATTGGATTTAGAGTAATAATTTTTGTGGTAACAAAAGGAAAAACTATCCAATACAATATTGTCAATAAAATTGAAATATAGGTGTATTTGAATCTCTTGCATTGTAGTTCGTATTCAAACAAATATGGTTCAATACTGTTCAAATGTTAATTAGAGATCTTAAAATTTTTCTTAAAATGATTTTAAATCTTGAAATTTGAGCCATTCGAAACTATTATTTCTGTTTCAGGCGATTTTCTGATTGAAATTCCTCTAGATTTGGGATATTGCTAATATTTTTTACCTATACCTATATGGTGAGTTGTATTGCAATACATACTTTTTATAATAACAAATTTTTAAAATAAACTATTTGAATTTCAACTAGTACGCAGACGTGTAAAAGGTCTGCTACATAAATTAAATTTTGTAATAAAAATCTCAAAAAAATCGAATGAGTTCAAATTACTTTAAAATTCCAAGTATTCAATAACTAAATAAAAGAGTATTTCATGTGATTTATATGTATATATATAAATCTAAGAGAACTAAATAAAATGACTAATTCATTATGCAATATACTTCAGGAATTTGAAAAAAAAATCATATGGAATGTTTTAGAGACAACTTCTAATTAGCATTTAATAACATTTACCTATATCTATAATCTATAAATATATATTTAAATCACATAATATATATTCACATATATTAAGAACTTTATTAGAAACCTCCCACATATTTTACATAAATTGATTGAATTTGACTTCCTATCCTATTTTGTTTTTTTTCTTTATATAAATCAAGAAACAATTCAAGGATAAGTTTTTTTTTTAATAAATACTATCAATGTTATGTGTATATGTTATGTATATATATAAAATACTAAAATGTATGTATATGTATTAAAAATATTCATATATATTTTGAAATAAATAAGCCAACCCTGTATTATTATAGACCAAAAAATTGCAATTTATTATTGAAATTTAATTTGTTCAATATGATTTATGATAACCGCGTATATTATAAGAATAATTAAAAAAATATGAATTTGAGGACAAAACATGTGTATAAGTTAAAGTTCCAATTCACTAATTTAATATGCTTCAATAATTTTTTGATTTATGTAAATATATAGTAGTAATAATGTAATATCCTCTATTAATTAATAATTCAAAATTTAAAATTATTTTTATAATTAATACGATTTTCTCTACATTTTAACAAAAAAAAAATTCATATATGCCTTCACATTCTGCATGTTGTTTGTGTCCAATAGTTTTATAACATACATGCTTTAATAATATAGAATTTTTTTAATTACCTACACATTAAATATTATTTTGTTATAAAATAACATAATAAAGTTTTAATTAAATTAAAATCCTAAGAGTCGAACCTATTTATTATAAAAAAAGACTAAAACTCGATTTGATTAATTTTAATATTTCAATAATCAATTTAAACATTTCTTGCTACCTCAAGTTCAACTCGCGAATAATTAGTAAGAAATCCATGAATCTTAAAATTATATTGAGCCTTATTATATCAAATTGTATTAGTCCTACTCAATATTTAATGAAAAAGAAAATGTTGTATGTATTATAATGTCAATAAAATTATAAAAATTGTGGCCTATTTATTTATTCATGAATTGTACACACGGATATGGGAGAAGTACTGTAAAAGTAAGCATATATTAATGCAGAAAAATTAAAACTCTATTCATTATTGTTAGTTATTTAGGTTGTTATATTCGATTCTGATAGTCAAGAATTACCCGTAAATTGGAATCTCGAAAATGAAATTTCATATTGTTCATATAAGGGGATTTTTTGTTTTTTTTATTATTCCTACTTCGCTCCTGGGAGGAGCATAAAGCTGATACACGATATTGTAGATAACCGTGAACACCAGTTTCTTACGTCATTGAGTTTACTAGGTAGGTGACGAGCCTACCGTAGTTTTATATTAAATATTTAACGTTATTGATATTTACTATTTTATTTTCCTGGTTTTAGGCTATTTTAAGGATATAATTTACGCTACAGAATTATTATTCTGTTATATTTATAATTAATTTTTTTTAAAGTCATATTTTACTTTGATTTCATATTAAAAATTTTGAACATAGCTTAAACTATTAAAGCAATGTATATGAAATTTATTTATAACCGTCCTCTGAATATTTCTTTAAAAAACTTCCTTTAAAGCACTTCGTTTCTTTATTATGTTTTCCTATTTTGAGTTGAGTTTGATAAAAATTTTTTCCTTCCTCCTGTATATGGAAAATAATGTGTACTTTTTTTACTAAGTTAAATAACAGTGTCAGTAAATCCGAAATACGAAATTCAATTTGCAATAAAATAATAAATTTTTATCAAATTCTTTCTGCCTGAAATGCTGAATATCATTATATTTTTATAATATTATAATATTTTTATAATACATTCTACTTTTATAATACTCGTCTACTTTTATAATACCTTCATCTTAAAATACATATTACTTTCTTTTCAAAAAAAAAAATCAGTAAATAACAAACATTAAAATCATTCAACTTTCAATCTACAAAATCATCCTTTATTTACACACTTATTTAATCAAATACCATAATTATCCGTATAATTATATACAATTCAAATATTCAATTAATTTATTAAAAAATCAAAACAAATTGAATGAAAATCAATAATAATTGATATTGTTAAAAAAAAAAAAATCAAATAAATATTTTAAAAAAATTACTTCAATTAATTAATTTAATTAATTACTTAATTTGATTGAATTTACTAACATGCACATACTTAATTAATTAATACTTTTGAAACTAGTTTTTGTTTTCTTTTACACATTTTGATTTCCCTTTTATTATATAAGCATAAATTATTTTTTTTTAACTATTTTCCTCTTTAATATTAGTGTTTCACTCTATTTTTATTTTTGTTTGTGTTTGTTTTCTTGTGTTTTTCGAATAAAATATTTTTAAAATGTATTTTATCAAAGAACAGAAATCATTCCAATTATTTAATTGTAAAATGTTTTTAAATCAAGATGAACACATATAAAAATATCCTTTAATAAAAATTTTTGAAATAATAATCATAAGAAAAATATGTCACCTATTTCTTATTTGCTTTATTTCTATAATTATGGGTAGCATTTTTTATTTAGTATATTATGTCTATTGTGAATTTTTCGCAAGACTATTAAAATTGTAAAAAAATAATACCTGGTTTATTGAACAGCGTACTAAAAAGAATGTGATATTAATCAAATATTTGCAAACAAAAAAAAGAAATAGAGAAGTAAATGAGATTTCAAAATAATTTTTAACAAAAAAAAAATAAATGAAAATAAATGAAAATCACGATCTCTTAATTTTGAAATTAATACGAGAATTAATAAACAGAAGAGAAATAAATTAATGCAATTTTTAAAATCTCAATTTGGCTCGAATTAATTTGGATAAAGAAATTCCAAAATTTTTTATTCTATAATTATTTGTTAATATTTAATTTAACAAATTTTCCTATAATTTTTACTATTAAGTAATTCCCAAACTATTAACTTAATTATTCTACGGGCCAAGAACAATTTCTTAAAAATTATTCTCAATTTTCATTTACGAATAAAAATTGAAGAAATCAACAAATTTTAATTTGACGAAAATGCAGCAATTTACCAAAATTATTAAAAATTGTAAAATTTTTTAATTTTACAAAATTTATTTAAAATTAATAAAAAACTATTAATTATTAACTTACGTATTTCATTTTGAAGATTTTTTTTTTAAATTTTTATTTCCTTTTCCTTTTATAAAATTATGTATAAATATAAAAATTTTTTAATTAAATTTTTATAATTAACGGAACTTGTTCACTTATTCAATTGCAATAAATATATTTTGCTTCTGATTTTTTGTAATTAATTTTAAAATCACAAAATAAATTTATAATTAAAATATTTAATTATTTTGTTAAAAAATTTAATTAATAACAAATTTAAATTATTAAACTTAAAAAAAATTATTTTGAACTATCGATTATAATAATTATCTAAAGCACTAAAAAAAAAAAAATAATTTTCTTTTTTAATTTTTTGCACTTAAAGAATTTACAATTAAGATTTTTAATAATTCTCTTTACGATATTATTTTATAAATAATTAATTATAAATTAATAATTAAGTTATAAAAAAAAATAGACGGTTGCAAAATAAATTAAGAAAACAAAAAAAAAGGTTATAAGTTATGAAGAAACGATTTTTTTTGTTGTTGTTTTTTTTTTTTTTCTTATAATATTTTTCAATATTATTTTTTATGATTTTCCATCGAGTTATACCTAGTGTATATTGTGAAAAGTTAAAGCTTAAATGACTTCCATTGCTTTTGGTTTGTTTATTTTATATGCCATTTTCGTTTTCATTAATTCCTAAAAAAAACAAAACAAATCAAAAAAAAAAAACGAAAAAATAATGTCTAGCAACAATATTAAATAACAGGCAACAATTTTTTTATATTTTATTTTAACAACGATACACAAAAAGTATTATTATTTACTCATAAGTCGTGATATGATTCAACCATGTAAAAAAAAATAATAACAAAATGAAAAGAATATTAAACTTTTATATAATAACAGAAATCTCTTTTAGATTAGCTCAATTTAATAAAGCAACATAGAGCATAAGCTAGAGAACAATTTTTATGTATAAAATACTTGTATAGAACAGAATAAGTTTTAAAATATAAAGGAAATTATTTTGCATAGTAACAAATTTGCAATTTACACTATATACCGTTAATTTTACTCGGGATTTAAAATTCTCAATAAAAATATTTATTCTCTGTTTCTTCTCTCTTTTCGAGGATTTTTAAATCATAAAATATATCTCTGTTGTTGCTGCAATGTAAACTAATTTTGTTGAGAAAAAAATTTTTTTTTCTCTCAATTAATTTCAAAGAAAATTCATGTTAAACAAAAGAAGAAAATTTAAAGCAACATTTTTAATAATATTGCAAGAAAATGTTGCTAGTAGTAGTAATAATGATATTGATAAAGTTTGTATACAGTGATTTTTAGTCTTACGAAAATATCATGATGCCATAAGAATTGAGGTAAATAAAATTATTGTTTTAATTGGTAAGATAACGAAATTGATTTTAAATGGATCCATTATGTACTATAAATATTTAAAAAAAACTAATGTTCAGAAAAATTTAAAATTAAGTTAATTAAATTAAAATTTTTCTTTAAAATTCTTTATAGAGAGTTTTATAGTTATATGATGACCTTATATTTGGTTGCATCATATATTTTTAACTTAATTTTAATAAATAGTTATATAAATAACAAATATAGAATTAGTATTTAAAAACAAATTTTAATATCACGGACATTTAAAATTATTTTGGAGAAAATAAAATTTTTGATTTCAATTTTTTAAAAAATTGAAAGTTTCTCGCATGAGTCTTTTGTTTCACTCAAAGGATTTTCTTATGATGATTTTTATTAATGTTCTACAATATTCATAATATTAAATTGCTAAACACATATAAATTTTAAATGACAATATTTGTATACATTTTTTAATTTTTAAGTTAATGATTAGTCATTATGTTTATAAACATATTCTTAAAATGTTTACAGAAACACAGTGCTTATAAGAAAAATAAAAAAAATTTTCTTTTCTTTTAAATTCAAGGTAAATTGTATTTTATTTCCACAATCTCTCTCTTTGTCTCTTTGTATTTATCTTTCTTTCCAGTTTTTCATATAAATTATTAAAATATTAGTTTAAAGTGATAACGGTTATTAGAAGAAAAAAAAAATAGAATAAGAAAATGTAACTGATTAAATCCTTTCATAAATTCACTTTTCCCCTTTAATAAAAAATTGTTTGAAAATTGAAGGCTTTTTAAACTGAAATTATGGTCAACTAATAAAAATAGGAAGTTAACTATTAATATTTTGAATTTAAAATACTATTGAAATAAAAATTATTAGCAGGTGTGTTTGTTTATAATTAAATTTATTGTTTTGATAGATAAGAAAATTGTTATGAATAGAAATTGTTATTTTTTTTTTCTTTATTTTTAAAAACTCCATATAAAGATACATAGCGGGAAAAAAATTAAATACATTAATGCAATATTACATTCATAGAGCATTGAATTATTCTAAATAAATTATTATTATGATTTCTGTTGAAAAATTAAATGTTGAGTGAAATTGTGGAATTTCTATTTTGATTACTATAATAGGTGATCTTATTTTATAGCAGATAAATATGTTTCTTCTAAAATATGTTTGTCAGTCGTACTCTCGCATATTATTGATCTTACATAAAATATTTTGAGTTGTAGAATTTTAGAATAATATTTCCTTCTAAAATTTTCTAATTAAAAACTAATTAATAAATAGGAAATATTGTACTATATTAATGACATTGTCACACAATATATTAAAAATTTAAATGTTTGTGATATTAAAAGTGAAAGTTTACATATATTTTTACGATACGAGGTTTTTTAGTACAATGCCGGTATTCATAGATGGGTATCCTCCCTAAATTTTTAAAAAATATGTGTCAATTCAACCTTTGTAGAGCAAATTTATGGTTCGTAAAATTTTTGCGAACAGTTTTTTTATTCACTTGTGCTTTTCAACTTATGCCTGTTTATTCAATTAATTGAATTTTAACATGTCGGAAGATTTTATTCCATGATTTCGGGTGGGACTGTTTGTTAAAAAACTTCTCAGAAAAACTTTTAAAACATTTTTGACGATATATTGTATAATTAGATAACTTAGAATTTTCTATGCGGTTCGGTGTCTGGCATAACCGATCTCCAAACAGAACTTTTTCAGGCTTTTATTGAAATTTTCTTTAAATCTGTAGTCTCGCAGTGCTGATTTTGTATAAATGTCAAACGGAATTTGATAATCTTTTCATTTGTGCTGCATATGAGTGTATTTGCTGACCGTCAACAGTGACAAAAAAGAGATTGGGTATAGAGATAGCTATTATTATATTTAAAATTTGTCATAAAATCTGCTCCTCTTTAAAAACCCTACAATGAATCAAAAGTCAATTGTTGTCGGAAAAAAAAAATACTAAATGAATTAAATAAAATTAGTGTATTAATTTAAAATATATAGCATGATTTTAACAAATTACAATTTTTGTCTAAACATTATGAGCTCCATATACGTTCCACACAAAAATTATTGTAAGACTATAAAGTGTGGCTTTTAATAAGAACCAATTAACGTGAATTCCTTGCAAACATTATCTCATATTTCTCATATGTTCTGTGCTGCAACCATGTAATCCTTCGCAGTACAGTGTACGTCAATATTTCTATATAAAGAATCATAAATTTTTCGTAACAAAACCGCACAATTTTTTTTTGTTTTAATCGAACACTTATTATAATGTGTTTCTAAAATATTTCCTTTAAAAAACAAAAAAAAAATTTAATGATAATTTAATGAGCATAAACAATTAATTGGAAAATTGGTAGTTGTTTACTTAATTTTCAAGTTTGTTTACCTTTTTCCTTGAGTAGGTAATTTCTGTACTTATTAAATTTTTCGCTTTGTTTACCATAATTTCACTTGTTTACTGTATTATATAATATGTTACAAATCAGTTATAATAGAAATAAGTGATACAAATCTGTAATAATGGCATTCAATTGACGATTATAACGAATATTCTTTAATAAAGCAATTAACAATTTAGGCAAAATTTCTTATTTACAATGTATTTATATTAAAACACATTCGAACACTTGTGTCTATGTATAATATCTTTAAATAAATTATTGAAATGTAAAATTATGTTTTTTTCCAAATTTCATATTGTTATTTTTAATTCACCTATTGTTGAACTATGTAATTATCATATTGTTATGCTAATAATACTATATAAGTGTTGCTTTGAACTTCATAAAATTAATTACATTGACCTTTTTTGGTTATTTTTTTTTAATAGTAATTTTTTACATTACTTCCAACATAAAATCATGTATATTTTTCACTCTAACACATTTGTAAAATATGAACATTTAAATTCTATTAAAAAAAAGTACGAGTACGTCATATAGTTCAGTGTTTTTATGCTCTTAAGAACCATAAATAGTTCCGGTATTTGTGCAATATGCACACAACCTTTAACACCTGAGCGCATATTTAATTTTATCAATAACATAAAATCATTATCAATACATATACAACATAATTATGGCCTCATCTATTTCTCACGTATACACATAATTTAAATGTATAAGAAACCCTCTAAAAGAATAAATTTTAAAATTAAATTTTAAATAAAAAAAAATAAAATTCTTATATGAACTTCACGCAATTTTATTCTTAATTATTTCCTTGCGGTTAAGATATTTTTCGTAATTTATACACACTCATGTAAACTATTTTTTACATAAATATACTTATACAACTTAATTTTTCCTCCTACTTTTATTGAATAGAAATTGGTATGTATGTGCAATTGTAAGAGAATATAGATTCTTAACATAGATTTTTATTCAACAATATGAGATTTCAATAAATACGTGACAGATTTAAAATAGTTTTGAAATTTATAACAAAATATGCTTAAAAAAAATATTTTTTGCTACATTTTTTTTTATTCAATTGACCTTGAACGACTTTAACTTTGTTTTGTATACAAACGTGTAAAATATACACAAAGTATTTTCAATTCTATACCAATTATATGCAGAAATGTAACAAACTGTTAATAAAGCACTGGTCATAAAATGTTCTAGTCATATTTTGGTTTTATTTTGCCATATTAAAGAAGTCGAAGAAGTCATACATACAATTATATTATTTGAAAAAATTTTGATTTTTTAGTGGAAAACACTAAAAATACGAAAAATATGGGAAAACCCATATTCACTATTTTAAAATTTTCTAAAAGTACAAATGTACTTGAAAGTTGAAGAGCTTGTTCGTATTTTTGCTCGTAAT